TATGACAAACTAGCTTCACAGTGACTATCATCCGCCAAAGTTAATTTTACTACAATGCCTTTTTCAAAATAGAGGAAGGAGAGGGAGGGATGATACATATACACACACTAACATGCTCATACACCTGGAAAACAAACTCCTTACCCAAGTGGACTGACCACTTTAAAGCCTCATCTCTATTCACGAAGCTGTAATAACACGACTGCAAACAAATCACGAAGCTTTACTAGGTTATCCTAGGTTAATTTATACATAATTTACTATATAAAACAACTGTAATGAACTTTCAAGCTTATTTCTCCTTCTACCGGGAAGGGCGAGACGTATGGGCAAGTGTCCTTACGGAGCCCAGTGGCCTGGTGGTTCAAGCTCTCACTTCACACTGTGAGTGTCCAGGTTCGATTCCCGGGGAGCGTAGAAAAATTGGGCGTGTTTCCTTACACTATGTCCCTGTTCGCCCATTAGTAGAATGAGTACCTGGGTATTAGTCGATTGATGTGTGTCGCATCCTGGGACAAAACTGACTTAATTTGCCCGAAATGCTCTGTATAATAAGCGGTTTTCTATGTAGTAGTATGTCATTAACGTCAACTAGGACTGTATACACAAATAACCCGCACATAGGAGAAAGAAGCTTACGACAACGTTTCGGTCCGACTTGGACCGAAACGTCGACTTTTGTAAATGGTCCAAGTCGGACCGAAACGCCGTCGTAAGTTCCTCTCTCCTATGTGCGGGTTATTTGTGTATTGTTCCAGTCACGGTATTGTGTCTTTTTGTTATTGAGGCCTGTATACCTTGTACATGTACTTGTAGAAATAAAGATATATAATAATAATAATATAATTATTATTATCATTATTATTATTATTACACTGCCTCAGTTACCCCAACAGTAAATACATGGTAGGTAGTACCTGAGTGTTAGGCGACAGTTTGTGGGTCGCTTCCTGGGGAATGGCTAAATGCTACAATAAACATCTGAGAAACTCCTATTACCTCAAAATGACCTAAGCACTACTTGCTCTATATGAAAACTATTAAAACTGTTCACTCAGTAAACAAAAAATACTGTCGCAAGGCAATACTGACATAATGAACTGATGCAAGGTAAGACCCGACTACTGTCAGCCAGAGTGGTGGTCAGGCCTACAGACCTAGAGCCACTACACAATTCACATTTCAGGCCTAGAGTCACTACGGCGTTCGAACTTCAACCCAAGGTCGGTGTTGGTCCTGAGAATGAAAACACCTGCATCGCACTTTACTAAGGCCATTCTACACAAACTGCTAACCGCTAGATTTCTATAACCTTGCAGGAACGTAGCCACGCTCACTACGAGGCCAGGAGCAATATCCGAGTTACCACTATTACCACTGCGCCAGTTGGGGACCTCACTAAGAATAGGTCCCCACTTAACACTTCCACTAGAGAATGGAGGGTACACCATCCTCTGTAGGTAGTGTAACGAAGTGTACGGGGGTAGGGGAGACTGGGAGGGACTTGTACACTACAATTTATGAACAGAGATATGCCTGCAGCAGGAATGACGCTAGTAACGCGTGTTATAACAGGTAACACTGAAGGACTTATATTACTGTCAAAGATGAGGCGCAGCCCACTAGTAGAAGAAAGAACGTAATCATTGAAGGTAATCATCAAGGGTGATGGACTGATTACATGTCTTTACATCTCTACTGCTTCTGCAGACTCTCGAACTCGACTGAAGAAGCCTACTATATAGGTGAAACGTTTCGGTATAAAGATAACTAACTATTGCACATGTTTCTTACTTATCAACGTGTCGATATTGTATACCAATATCACACAACACAACGGTATCTTGGTACAGAAAACGTCTTCGACAACTTTTTTTGCCCGACCACTAGGTACAAGTGAGAAGGGACCTGCCCTCTCAATGATTACAAGCTTTCTTTAACTAGTGGGCTGCTCCTCATCTTTAACAGTATATGTCTCCATACTGTTGCTTCAACTTCAACACCGAAGGACATTTCATGAGTTGGAAAGATGCTAAGCTGCAGGGAACCACCCCTCATGGAAGGTTCCTTGATGTTGGTGAGGGGCTCTTGATTTATGGAATTGGATCTGTGCTCCAGTTCCCCGAATTAAACCTGAATGCCTTCCACATCCCCCCCCAGGCGCTGTATAATCCTCCGGGTTTAGCGCTTCCCCCTTGATTATAATAATAATAATAATGCAGGGAACCAGATTTAAGACATCATTGCCTTAAACCAACTCCAACACCATCGTTCAAAACGTTGGCAATTATAACATTTCTTATGACTGCATCTCAGCAATAAAATAAATTCTTCTCCACTTATAATACAACCATACAGGGAAAACTGGGGAGAGTTCCAGGTGCTGATCTCCCAGTTTTTTCCTTTGAGTATTTCTCTCCCAGAAACTAAATTTCACCATGTTACTAGCTTTCCTATCACTGGCTGCCTTCTTTTACAGTTTGGCCATCCTTACCCCGATGCCTCCTATAATGAAAGTGCACCCTTAGTGTGGATAGATAATCCATATATTAGACTTTTTATCCAAAGTCCACTTAATTATAACGCGGTTGGCGTCTATTTACATGTTTACTCTACAATTTACTCACTGTACATTTCTCTTTCTCACCCGTTCGGACACCCTACGATACCTAGTGTCATCCTGACGTCAATTATTACTTATTTTATGATATTTAATTGCTATCGTTTTCTTTGGGGTGAGCCCCACACTGGATTTTTTTTCTTTTCCCTTGACCTTCATATATCTTAATCATTGGGCCCACAACTCATGTAAATCTTCAAACTCGGACGCCTCTAAGTATTGATCTCTTAATCAATACTTGAAGGCGCTAGACTCCGGACAGTTGGAAATTATCTCCATTATGGCAACCACCTCCCTATCATTCTTGCTTCTCATTCCTACACCCGTCCTTATCACCACTCTCGGTGACAGTTTAAATTTGTGATTTTTTTTTTTAACATTGCACCACTTTGTCTTTATGTCATCACAGATGCATCCATCACTGACGAGTACATATATTTATTTGTTACATCTCTTCCTTCAGCTGTTGGAATTGTTATTCCAACTTTGTCAAACATTTTAGTAAATGAGTACCTTGGTGGTTATCAGTTTGTGCCAAGGCAACAGGGGCCTGATGTCATTATAACCGTAGCATTACCGGCTTTTAAGATTTCAAACAAGCAAGAGTTCATGCTGACGTGTGAAACGAACAGCAAAGTGTGCTTTGTTGGTTTGCTTATGTTCATCCTTTAATTACCCTGCGATTTATAGAATAATCACAGATGTTAGTAAAACTGACAGTTTCAATCTCATTGTCCTTCTGTATTACGTATTTTTAATCTTTGCTTTCAGACTGGTGCTTCATCAGTCTGCCCTCCTTCTTTCTCTATTCATAATGGTCATTTATTTTCTATTCCTCCTAGGGAAGTACCGATGATTTGAGTATGTCACTCCTTCCTTTCCTGAGTCTTCTACCTCTGCTATGAATATGTGCTTCTTCCTTGGTCATCTTCAGGTGCACTCACGCGCTATTGCTGCCTACACCGGTGGCTCTGAATCCTCGGATGGTGAAAGAGACACGGCTGTTTTTCTGGATAGTGTAATACAGGGACGCTTGCAAGTTCCAGCTAATATTTTCAGATCAGTTATGAGCTTCTCTTGCAGTCACCATCCGTACCGTTTTTCCTCCTACTTCTTTGTTGAAATCTGATTCTCAAAGTGTATTACAAGCTCCGTTGAGAGCCTTGACTCAACGAATTCCATCGCCCTAGCATTCAGCACTGGAAACAAACCATACACGGGTGGGGATAGAACCCGCGATCAGAGAGTCTCAAAACTCCAGGCCGTCGCGTTAGCCACTGGACCAACTAGCCACAATAAGATTCGTCCAACTAGGTATATTTCTACACCATAGGAAGGATAGCATAGGCACCACTGTGACCACAAATGCAAGTTTTTACAGAATAAAATCTTGGCTTAACCCCCTCCCCAGATTAAAATCCTGGCTTAACCCCCTCCCCAGAATGAAATCCTGGCTTAACCCCCTCCCCAGAATGAAATCCTGGCTTAACCCCTCCCCAGAATGAAATCCTGGCTTAACCCCTCTCCAGAATGAAATCCTGGCTTAACCCCCTCCCCAGAATGAAATCCTGGCTTAACCCCCTCCCCAGAATGAAATCCTGGCTTAACCCCCTCCCCAGAATGAAATCCTGGCTTAACCCCCTCCCCAGAATGAAATCCTACTGCACTACATGACTCTTCCTCAGAATAGGTGCAGCTAGATTAACCTCCCATTCTCCAGGCGCAGTGTGATCCCTGTGGGCTTAGTTCATCATTAGCTTCATAAGAAGCGCTAAACTCGTAGGGGTCATACGGTGCCTGGGGGAAAATGGAAGGCATTCAGACTGGAAATTCAAGGAATTAGAGCTGATGTCCATTTTCTCAGATCGAGTTCCTCACCAGCACCAAGGAACCTTCGTCGAAGGAGCTGGTTTAGCCCAACCCCATGAAATTATTTTTATTTTGTGAGAGGTGATGTGTAGAGAAGTATTGTGTTGAGGAGTGTTGAGAGGCATGATAGATGAGTACTTGCCAGTGTTCATGCGAGGCTGGCCAAGCACTAAAGAGATGGCAATCTCTCTCAAGTGGCGCGCAGCAATACTATTTAAAATTCCACGTTCTTTCAATGTTTACGTTTGTCCTCGTTGAATCTATTTGAAAGTAAACCGTCGAATGTTGCGAGTTTCGTATCATTTGCTGCGTATATAATTCATGGCGACGGCACTGAGCGCTATCAATCAAAATAGATTAGAGAAAATTTCCCTCTTGCAGAGATGCTGCCTAGAAGATGGCGTATATTACATCGAAACAGTTGTATAAGTATTCAAGGATATTCGGAGGTGGTAATAGCAAAAGAATATTCGAAATAATGGAGTAAAACCGAGGGACTAGATTATGGTGCGGAGTGTGCACCTGAGCGTCGACTCAGTGGCTCGATCGATGCAGGAGTGTGAGGAGGTGTGGAGGTGGCGCTCAACCACTACATTCTTACTTATTACATATATTCCGTACACCATCGGGATTTTTCGCCAACAGAGGACTCGATAAACGTGCAGAGGAGGGTGAGTTGTGATTTGGTGTGGCTGGAGGCGCGAGGGGGGTCGGGTATATGCAGTACAAAGTGAAGTGAAGGAGTTTGTTGTTATGGATGTGAGGGGCTGCTGGATATCTCTACTTGTCCATTTCCCTTGTGACTCATCCAACTCTATGGCATTTCCTGCTGTTTGTGTCTTCCCGGTGGATGCCAGGAATGGTAGTCATGGTGCAGGATCTCGTAGGGTGTCCCTGAGTCACTAGATGAAGCAGTTTAGGGCCGTCTTAGCCACTTTCTTGGAGTGGTAAAGGCTGTTGGGTGTGGTGGGAGGGTGAGGCTCTAGGGCTGTTATCTACGTTATCTGGTTTATCATACTCTCTACCATGATAACACCCCAGCACCATGATAACCTCCCACCACCCTCCTCTCACTCCAGCAGCAAGGGTTTGCAGGAGAGAGTCACGGTGTGGGTGATGGATGTTAAACAAGCAGTGTTATCACCGTGATTGTTTGCTGTCACCAACTAGACTGTTTAATTGTTACCAGCTTGAGAGCGTGACTCTTTACTGTCACCAGATTGACTGTTTACTGTCGCCACCGTTATATTGTCGCCACCATTAGTCACCAACGTGTCACTGTCAAGAACGTGACCCAGTCACCAATGTGACTGCTCACAATCACTCTTGGACTGCTCGCAGTTGTCCTGCCCCTGGACTGCTCACTCACCCTTTATTTACTGTCACCTCCATGGATTGTAAAGGACCTGCCTAGTATGGGCCAACAGGCCTGCTGCAGTGATCCTCCTTTCTTATGTTCTTAATTGCTGTCACCACCATGGAGGGGTAGGCCAGTGGAAGGCCTCGGTCAGATGACCAAACAGTACAGTGGTGGGTCATCGTATGACTAAAACACGCGTCAGGAAACACTTGGTCTGTTTCCTGACGAATCTTATTCTTAACTTAAGGGTAGGTTAGGTTAGGTAAAATTCGTCAGTTAGCAAGTGTTTCCTGATTCGGATCTTAGTGTAGTGCAGTGTCACCCCATGTCACCCATGTTTACTATCACTCCCATGAGTTAATTTACTGTCACCTCGCAGTGTGTTTGTCACCACCCTGAGTGTTTATTTTTTGTCACCCCCAAGAGTGTTTACTGTCACCATCTGGAGCATTTGTTTACTGTCACCACCCTGAGTGTTTACTGTCATCACCCAGAGCATTTGTTTACCATCACCACCCGGACCATTTGTCTACTATCACCACCTGGAGCATTTGTTAACCATTACCACCCTGAGTGTTTACTGCCACCACTGTGATTGTGTACCTTCCCCATCTCGATTTGACTGCCCTCTCTGCCTTGACTGCCCTCTCTGCCTTGACTGCCCTCTCTGCCTTGACTGCCCTCTCTGCCTTGACTGCCCTCTCTGCCTTGACTGCCCTCTCTGCCTTGACTGCCCTCTCTGCCTTGACTGCCCTCTCTGCCTTGACTGCCCTCTCTGCCTTGACTGCCCTCTCTGCCTTGACTGCCCCTCTGCCTTGACTGCCCCCTCTGCCTTGACTGCCCTCTCTGCCTTGACTGCCCTCTCTGCCTTGACTGCCCTCTCTGCCTTGACTGCCCTCTCTGCCTTGACTGCCCTCTCTGCCTTGACTGCCCTCTCTGGCCCTTGACTGCCCCTCTGCCTTGACTGCCCTCTCTGCCTTGACTGCCCCCTCTGCCTTGACTGCCCCTCTCTGCCTTGACTGCCCCCTCTGCCTTGACTGCCCCTCGCTACTGCCTCTGCCTTGACTGCCCCCTCTGCCTTGACTGCCCCCTCTGCCTTGACTGCCCCTCTGCCTTGACTGCCCCCCTGCTGACTGCCCTCTGACTTGACTGCCCCTCTGCCTGACTGCCCCTTGCTTGACTGCCCCCTCTGCCTTGACTGCCCCCTCTGCCTTGACTGCCCCCTCTGCCTTGACTGCCCCTTCTGCCTTGACTGCCCCCTCTGCCTTGACTGCCCCCTCTGCCTTGACTGCCCTCTCTGCCTTGACTGCCCTCTCTGCCTTGACTACCATCTCTACCTTGACTGCCCCCTCTGCCTTGACTGCCCACTCTGCCTTGACTGCCCTCTCTGCCTTGACTCCCATCTCTGCCTTGACTATTTTCTGTCACCCCTTGAAGTCATTCCCAAGAATGTGATCTGCAGTGGTCGACTTCTTTGATACCTTTGATGGGTTTCGAGAGTTCTCCTACTCCTGCAGCCAACCCCTAGGCCAGGCTTGGCAGCCTGCATAACCATCACAGCCTGGATGATCTGGCAAAATGCAGTTGGAATTGTCAGGTTTTCTGTCTTCTGCATTTGTTCTAGCAGCATTTTTGATGAAAATACCCAGGATTAGATATTCACAAATAACAAGGAACTACTCATAGATATACCAGTTACAAAAACAATATACTCTGACTACAACATCATAGAAGTACAAATGAGTATAAACTCAGGAATACAGCACTAATGTAAGGGATGGGATGTTCAGTAAGTTTAACTTCAACAACCATAGGGTTGCGATGAATGGTTTGAAAAACCGACAAGTTGAAGATTGAGAGACTTATGCAACATATGGGAATCTTTATTCAGGAAACGTTTCGCCACACAGTGGCTTAACGTTTCCTGAATAAAGATTCCCATATGTTGCATAAGTGTCTCAATCTTCAACCATAGGGTTGACTGGGACAAAATAAACCAAGAATTGTCAGACATATCCTGGGGAACACACATGAACATTCTAAATCCTCACTAGTACCTGGAGAAGCTGAGTACAAAAGCATAGAAGGTCTGTATTTATTACATACCATTGAGGAAACCCAAGAGAATATCGGTTATAGAGAGAGGGAGAGAGAGCGAGCGAGCATAGGAGATGGTACAACAGAAGAAGGCAGGTTACCAGATTTCTTAAAAACACAAATGTGTCACACCAAAGGAAAGATAATCTTAGCCAAGGGATAACTGATTTAGAACAAACACTTCAGAGGTCATACCGATCAGAAGAAGCACAAAGGGAACAAATAGCTATCCAGGATATTGCAAGAAACCCAAAATATTTTTATTCATATGCAGAATCCAAGCTAAGAACTACCTGTAAAATTGGAACAGGAAATGAGCAAAATTCTAAAGGAACAGTATGAGTAGGTGTTCAGCATTCCTCTAAATGACAGCATGATAGAGAATGCAGAAATGTTTTTCACTCCAGCAGAAGGCCGCACAGACTGACTGTCGGCACCAGTCCCATAATTTTGTTAAAAAAGAAAAACTTGAAATCATACCCACTCACTCAGCACCTGGACCAGATTCATAGAATGCCCAATTTATGAAGAGTGCAAAGCACTACTAGCAAGAGCCCTCATTATTCTCTGGAGAAAGAGCCTAGACATAGATGAAATACCAGAGTGCAGACATAGCTCCTGTGCACTAGCTAAAAGTTGCAGACCAGTAGCACTAACTTTCCACATCATAAAAGTCTTTGAAAAAGTGATAAGACAGCAGATTACAAATTTCGTGAAACAGCAGTCGGCATAGCCCAAACCAGTATGAGTTTTAGAGCAGGATGATCATACCTACAACAACTACTGAACCACTATGACAGAATTATGGAGGCTTTGGAAGACAACCAAAATGCAGATGTGATATACACAGACTTTGCAAAGGCATTTGACAAATGTGATCATGGTGTGATTGCACACAAAATAAGGGCCAAAGGCATTATGGGGAAGGTACACTGATGGATTTTCAGGTTCCTAACACGCACAACACAAAAAGTGGTTGTACATAAGCAGCAAAATCCAGCATCAGTGAAGTTTTAAAAAGCTCAGTTCCCCAAGGCACTGTTTTGGCACCTGTGCTGTTTCTTATCCTTATAGCAGACATAGATATCAACACCCATCACAGTTTTGTATCATTATTTGCAGAAAATACTAAAATAAGCATGAAAATTACTTTGGTAGAAGATAGTGAAAAAATTACAGGAACTTAATGTTCAGTAACACTTACAAAACTCAAGAGGATTGTCAAATAGAACGAAAGGAACGCTTGAAACATTTGGGAATAATTATGTCAAGTGACCTTGCTTTCAAAGAACAGAATAAGACAAAGGTTACTACAGCCAGGAGTATGACAGAGTGGGTAATGAGAACTTTCAGAAGAAGGGAAATAATGCCATGGTGACACTTTTCAAATTGCTAATTCTCCCTCGTTTGGAATATTGTTCAGTGTTGATGGCCCATTCAGGGCTGGAGAAATACCAGAGCTGGAACAAATACAGAGATCATTTATGGCCCACATAGAGCCAGTAAAGCATTTAAATTACTGGGAATACCTTAGTCTTAAAAATGTACTCACTGGTGTGGAGGAGAAAGAGAGACATGATAGTGTATACCTGGAAAATACTTGAGGGCCTGAGGGTGTGGTGGGCACAATAAGTAAAAGGACACAAATGCAACTAATGTGACATTTTATTGTGGCAACGTTTTGCTCTCCAGGAGCTTTATCAAGCCATTACAAACAATACATGGACACAGGGTATGTATATACCCTCTGTCCATTTTACTTAACATCTGTCCTTTTACTTAACATCTTTACCAGGTGCTGGATCAGCCAGGCTGTGTTGGATATGTGGGGCAGCAGGCCTCCAGCAGCAACAGCCTGGTTGATCAGGCTAGCACCAGACGAGCCTGGCCCATGGCCGGGGTCCAGGAGTAGAAAGACACTTGAAACTCATCAAAGGTAAATCATAGGTCGATATCTTCTGGTAAGATGTTATGTTCTCTTATTGTGCCCATGGCACTTCTGCCTTACACTGGGTTTATTCTACACATTCTTCCATATCTTATTTCTTAGTCCAGTATGTTATGGTTGTGTGTAGATTTGGGACCAGGCCCTCAAGCACCTTCCGTGTATATGTTGTCATGTATATCTCCTCCGCTTTAACAAGCACATATTTAAGATTTTGAGGTGTTTCCAGTAACTTAAAAGCTTTATTGGCTCTGTGTGGGCCATAAAGA